CAATAAGTTCGGTGACCCATCTTAGGATGTAGATAAAAATTTCAAAGCCCATCTAATCTTACAAAAAAATTTTCATGACCCACCCAATCTAAATTGGGAAAATACACTTTTATAATAAAAAAAACTTGCAGGTATGAACATTTTAATTATACACCGGCACCGGTATTGACATACATAATTCCACCAAGCTTGACCAACACATTGATACTGAACTGCTCTCCAGTTGGTTGTATTTGCTGTGATTCGACCACTTTTTGTTGTTGTATAAACAAAGTACAGGCTTCAATAGCATCATTTGCATTTAATAATTTGGATAGTTTTGTTTACTTTTATTATTAATATCTTTATTTTTTGAAGTAGGCATGCATGGGTTTTTGTTTGGTGGCCCAACCGTGGACATACAAAAAAAATGGTGGCCCATCGAAACTGCCCAAAGATTTTCCATGGCCCATCTCAAATCACTCCAGCCCACCCTAGCAGTTTCTTTATGACCGGTCCCTAAGAAAGATTTTACTTCGTAAAATCTTTCTTAATTAACAAGCTTATTAACCTTTACTAACCATATCGAAGATCTATTACTAAATTGTAATTGTATTCATTACTAATAATTGTTTTCTCAATAGTCGTAATCTTTAATACTTTTTATGCCTGTAAATATCAAAATAGTGCGAGGGCCATATGTTAGATAACTTTTATGGTTAATACGTTTTCCCTCGTGAAATAAAGTCTCTATTCTATTCTATTCTATTCTATTCTATTCTATACCCGAACAATACAAGCAAAATTTCTACGTTTCGAACGATTAAGGTCCTTCGTTGGGAGGTTTAGTAACGCCCGTAGTTCTGCCGATATTTTTCAAGTAGTTGTATCCTTCACAATCCGAAGTCAATTCAAAGATAGCGGAGTATTAATTTTAGCAGTGCGGTACCATTATGAGCTACGAATTTGCCGTCACTTTATGGCGGTAATGTGGGTCTGGCAATTGAGATTATGGTTGATTAGTTGTTCTGTCACTGTAGTGTTTGCGTTTATCTCGCCTATGGATCCCATTCTGTGGTTTGCGGCGCAATGCGGCATAATTTGCGCTCCACTGAAGTAAATGAATCCAGGTAAAAACGTAATGTATATAGCTCAGTGCTTAGTAACCAGCCTTCAAGCGTCACGCGGGCAACAAAATTACAAAAATTTCCAAATTTATCGACTTTTACATAGAAGCTTTTTCAACCGATCTTTTTACTAAATTTTAACCATGAAAATCGCTGTGGAAGGCTGTGCCCATGGGGAATTGGAGACCATTTACGCTGCTTTGGAGAACATTGAACGTAGAGACAATATTAAAGTAGATTTATTGATTTGTTGTGGAGATTTTCAAGCCGTGCGAAACGAGGTCGATTTGGCATGCATGGCCGTACCACCCAAGTACAAAAAAATGTGCAGCTTTTATAAGTACTACAGTGGCGAGAAAACGGCGCCAATTTTAACCATTTTTATTGGTGGCAATCATGAAGCATCGAATCATTTGTGGGAGCTACCTTTTGGCGGTTGGGTCGCCCCAAATATATACTACCTCGGCTACTCTGGGGTGGTCAATTTCGGTGGGCTAAGGATAGCTGGGCTATCTGGGATATACAAGTCACATGACTACAATAAAGGTCATTATGAGTCGCCACCGTTTAACCATGATACTGTTCGGAGCATATATCATGTTCGAAGCTTGGATGTTTTTAAACTGAAACTATTGATGAAGCCTGTTGATATTGCATTGTCACACGATTGGCCGAAAGGGGTGTATCACTATGGCAACCTTGATGAATTGTATCGTTGGAAAGGATTCTTACGCGAGGAGATTGAATCAAATACCCTGGGAAGTTACGCAGGCCAAGAAGTGTTACGAGCGTTGCAGCCTGATTTTTGGTTCTCCGCCCATCTGCATTGCAGATTTCCTGCCCAGGTTGTTCACAGCCAAACGGGGAAGGTAACAAACTTCTTAGCACTCGACAAATGTTTACCTCGACGGAAGTACCTGGAGGTTATTGATGTGGGTGAACCGAAGGGACCATTAGAGTTATCGTACGACGCAGAATGGCTAGCCATAACTAAGTCAACATTACCTCTGATGAACACAGAGCCAGTGCACACGAAACTGCCTTATGCGGAGTCCGTTATTGCAACCCTAAAGCCAAACGAGGCAGTGATTAAGGATGTAAAAGAGCTATTTGATGGTGACCTTAAAATCCCAGAGAATTTCACTCAAAATGTGGCATTGTATAACCCAGCGAGGCACAGAAAACATGTTCAAGTCACGGCCGGCACAAATCCACAAACCGACTCATTTTGCAGAAAGTTGAAAATCAGGAATCCGTTTTGGGTGACAGATCTTCCCGGTGATGTGACATCAGAGAATCCAGATGAGATTAGCCTGAGTGATGAAGATGATGATGGTGATGATACCCAAAGCAGTGATATCTCTAGTAATGTGACAGCTCCTTTGCCACATGTCGAAGGTGTGCAGAGACCTGGTTTCTTGTCGAGCGTATGCAAGGAAGAGCAAGTGTCGTCAGAGAATCCTGATGAGATTGGTTTAGCAGATGATGAGGAAAGCGAGTCACAAAGTAGTGATTTTCCAACTGCAAGAGCAGCAAGTTCGTCAACACACTCAGAAACAAGGGCCAACACCGATTTACCTTTTAAAGAAAATGACCAGAAAACTGGACATGATAGCTTAGGAGACAAGATAAACCCAGACAGTAATTCAGACACAGAACCTCCACCAAAAGTATTCAAACTTGTCCGAAGGAATCAGAACATGTACTCTACGACTGAGGACTCTGATGACTAAAAACAATCTTAGTGTTTTTTAGCATAAATTTTATATTAGTTGGTCTGAAAATAAAACAGAAGATATTCAAAACGAAGGAAAATTGTTCTATTTTTGACTTTTTTTGTTGTACAATATACATGATAATAAATTATTTTAGTTTACTCTGTCTAATGCCAGATTATTTTACTCCGTCTAATGCCAGACAATTTTACTTGTCAAGGAGAGGGCATTGGTGCTCAATGGGTTATGCCCTGAACACTGATTTGGATTAGTACTTGTCTACAAATTAAATTTGCGAAGGGTGCAAATTCATTGCTGAAACATTTAAATGCAAGCTAGATCAATTACATTTTTGCCACCATAAACCACTATAAATCTTCTATTAATAAACCTCCTTCTCACTACAACCTCTTGATAATGATGTCACAAATGTTTTTTTGGTATGGCAGCCTCGCTCTCATGAATCGAAATGTATCAATGCATGCTATTCAATTATAATTTGTGAGATGAGTCTTCCAGACCAAGGATGCAACTTGTGACGTAATTTTTAAAAGCCTGACCCCTTTTGAAGGAAGAAATTATTAATCCCAACCCTCCACAGGGCCCCCACACACCTAACATTTCATTTCAACAACATGAAGTATTATGGATGCAGTCACTTAACCTCTGACCATAGTATTGTTTATGCTCGTGGGCTCATTTCGTTTCCAAACTCGTGCTTTTCCAAAATGTCCAAAGCTGAGAAAGTTTCAAATGACGTTAAAAGCTTTCTACGCTCCGTTTTAATATCAAGCAAAGGCGTTAAAGAAAGCAGAGTTGAAAAGGACTACTACGAACTATCGGGCGAGAAATTATTGTGGAAGAACTATGGATTTAAATCGTTAAACGAATTTTTAAACGCCATGCCTGACGTCTGCGTTTTACAATACAGCGCAAAGGACAGAGAGAATCGGGTGTATGCCGTGCACTTGAAAGGGACCTATATGTCCTCACATGCAAAAAAGAACGCGAAAGTTGCCAGCACAACGATTTCTCCGACAAAAGAGGCAAATGTGCCTGAGAACGGGAGGTTGGTCGAAAAACATGGCGAGAGTTTCAAGATCACGTTGTCAAATTCCCAAGGGGGGGAGGAGATAGACGACCTGTTGCCAAATAAGTACGGACTATATCAGGTGTATGTGGTGAAACTGCCCGAGAAGTGTACAGAGGTAAAGTATGGATTATGCATAATCTGCGACGTAGCCTGCTCAGCAGCCCCGTCCGAAAATTTGAAATGAAAATTTGGGCTGTGAGCAGGCTATCTGGGATGTTGCACCAAGTCGAAAGATTATCAGCCCTCGAAAACGAGGTCGGCATTCGGCAATACCAACCTAAATGCCGACCAATCAACCTCCCAGGTCGGCAATTTTTTGCCGATCTTCTTAATTCAGTCAAAGAAAGAATCTTTTTTTGTGCTGATAGCTGTTAAAAAGTCGGTGATTATAGAATTCTATACACTTCGGTGTAAGGTTTAAAAATTGACGAGTATTCTATATATAATTTAGTTAAGACTCTAAAAGAAAAGCCTTTGTGACATTACTTTTCAATGATTCGTAATATGTGATTCTAGTGCTCCAAGGCAGGGAAACAGATTTAAAAAAATGCTGAGACGTGCCGACCTAGGTCAGATTTAGGTTAGCATTTTTTTGCTGACCTCAATTTTGACGGTTTTCGAGGGCTGGATTATGCACCTATCATTTGTTTCCGCCACCCCCGGAGGGAGGGCAAACCCACATGCATTTGACATTTTGTAATTTTTTGTCAACCCAAGGGCAAGGGCAGGAGTTGTTAACAATTTCAGGATATTTATGTGGTCCGGCCATATAATTTGAAACATTTAGTCATACATGATAAAAAAAATTTTGTAATAAAAACATGTTCTAAAGGGTAAAAAAACAACTAACTTTTGAATATCTCTGCCACATCTGAAAGGTTTGTTTCTTAAAAATATCTCTATTTCAGCACTTGGACAACAGTCCATCTTGAAAACGACTTATTTTAAAAACGTCCAGTATGAGGTTAAAAAACATCGAGATAACGTTGCTCACCCCAAGTCTCCCGCAGCACAAGCCGAGATGTCCAGTACATAAGTTTGTCAATTGTCTGTCTCCAGGTTGAGAGTTTGTTGTTGAACCCCCCGGAGTTGCCTGCCCTCGGGGTGGGGGTGGGGTGGGGTGATGTAAACAAATGATAGGTACATTATTACAACATTTATATCAAGTGTTGAAGTAAAATTTTAATATTGGACACTCAAAATTTTGCTTTGCTTTAGAACGATTTAAAAGATTGCTTCAGTGCTTATGGTAATGCTGTGGAATATCAGATAGTAAGAAGCTCAATTGGTAGAAAGTGAGTTGCCAGAATTATTATGTAAATTGTTCCTGTAATAATAATATTTAATTAAAAAATAAATAATTTATATACAAAAATTTGAAACAACTCATTGAGTACTAGTGCTCTCCAATGGACCAATCCCCAATTAACCAAAATTTTGAACTCAACAAGTCTAGACAAAAATTTCATCACAGCTTGAAAGAGCATCACAAAATTAGTAATATTCCAAAGTTTTGTTGCAAAATGTTGTAATTGCAGATAATATAGCCTTGCGAAGTTTGCAATTTTCAGTCATTTTAGATTAAAAACGGGAAATGGTTACCACTTCTATCTGTAATACAAAATGACTGAAAATTACAAACTTCGCAAGGCTATATTATCCGCATTTTACAACATTTCGCAACGAAACTTTGGAATATTACTAATTTTGTGATGCTTTTTCATGCTATGATGGAATTTTGTCTAGACTTGTTGATATCAAAATTTTTGTTAAATTGGGGAATGGTCCATTAATAATAGTAAAATTTTCTGGCATTTGGACAGACTAATTATAATGAAGCAAGGCACAGTGAAGTGTGATGCAATGTAATGGGTTAACTGGCGAGCAAATGTGGTGGAGAAGCATTGATTTAAGAGATGGAGGGGGGGGGGCGGTGGGATTTGGCCTACCTGTACAAAACCTCGCCATCTCCTCCTTCAAAAAACAACTTAAAGACACTTGTAGGAACTTTCTTGCAACAACATTTGACATAGGCATGCCATGCACTTGGACATTAGTGCATGATTGTCCATGGCATAAAGCGTAAACACCAATCTGTTTTAATTGATGTTTGTATTGTTTTGTATAGTTTTGTATTATATTTTGTATATTATATGGTCAGCACCTTGCATGGGTCTTTGCAGGTCTCAAAATAATGGCCGATCAATGATCGGCAGGAAATTGCTTTTGATTGGCAGAGAAGCAATGTTGCCGATCATCTTCATCACATTGTCTCAAGATGGTTGTACACTATGTCTATCTTGTGTTTGTATTTGTCAATGTCTAGTTATCTAATTAAATAGTACAATGTGTTAAATGGTGTTACTGTAGAATTCTCAATATGAAAAAAATTATGAACATACAGACTGTTACTCAAGCTTTATAATTTTTATAATTTTCACCCTGAAGGATTGGCTTTGTAAGATATGCCTTGAAAAGCGAAGCATCTCGGGCATTAACCGAAGGCAAGAAGAACCCTCCGAAAATTCATGGAGTCGAATTGGAGGTCGGAAAACCGAAGAAAAAATCAAACAGCCTTGATGCATCAAGTAATGCAACTTCAAATTCAGAGCCAAGCGAAGGAAGCCTATCGTCTACTCCATCATCACCAATAAAACACCCATTTGTCCATGAAATATCCACAAAACACACATCAGCAACACATGAACCTCCACCAAAATTTCTGTCTAATTCTCAATTATCTGGGCCGGTACCATTATTATCAACACATCCCACAGTAAAAGCACCGCCCATTTCCCAAGGACTGTTACCCCTTAATAATCCCCCACCATGCCTGCCAGAGAACCCACAACACAATGCAAATGTCCCACTTTCCGTACAAGTACCAACGTCACCAAAATGCACCACAGTTGTGACGGCAACTACTGGCAACAACGGACCATGGAAACTTAGTCCCAATTCCCCGACAAAGACCTTACTGTCTATACACCCAGCCTCACAAACAAGACCATTGGATAATAAACAACTGACCGAAGCTGTTACAACGTCGGCCAAAACTGCTGAAAAAAAGTTTGTGAAATTACTGACTTATGGTGCTGTAGTTTCTGGTTATGACAGTAAAGTCTCTGAGGTATGTTTCTAATTTTTCTTGTATAGTAACATTTTTTCCCAGGCGGGCAAAATGCATATTTTACCCCTGCTGGCAAAGCAAGCAATATGGGATTGCATTGAAGCTTTCTGGGCGGGGTTGGTTTAATGTCTCTGAATAAATAAATTGCTATGATGGTAAACGTCGTTCAGATCTGAAGATTTAAAAAATGAAATTTGCCATCAGAAAATATTAAATTTGGTCTGGGAACAATGATGCAAATAATAGAGCCTTTAAGTTGAAAATGATAGCTGGGCAAGACTGTTTTACTGTACAAAAGTTAAAGGGGCCCTACAGTCATTCATTTTCTAGTCGAAAAGCCATTGTTTACATTTTTTGTTATTGTTGCTACTTGACATGCGCATCACGGCACGCATGCGTTTTCCGGTGTGCGGAAGTACTCATACTTATGGATACTGCATGTAAGATACAGCCAAACGAATCTCTGTGGCTTTTCGACTAAAAAATGACTGTAGGGCCCCTTTAAAGTGTGATGCACCACAAATATGATTTTTGGTATGTGTAATATTTGGGTCATTCGAAAAAGAAATGTAATATATCTTTATAATAAAAATCCCTGTCTTGATGAATGTTTTCACTGTCAAAGTTTCCGGATACATCATTAGGTGAATTGCAAATTAATTTTTTTCCTTTGTTTTTGTACCAAAAATTCACCTAATGACATCATCTGCAGAAACTCTGACAGTGAAAAAGTTGATCACGATGAGGTTTCATAAAGCATTCTTGAATGGTCTGTCGTAGCAAAGGTAGCAATCAAAACAAGCTCTACTTTCTGTGCATGATGAAGGGCTTTTTTGTGTATGGGAAATATACAGTATGATAAAACATTTCGATCCCTGGGTATTGCTGAATTCTCTTCTTATTTTGTTTTCTGCTCTAGGCACGTTTGAGGCAGGAATTCCAAAGTGTCCGTAATATAGAACGCTTGGAGTACCAACCACAGTAAGTTACATTTAACCATTTTGTCACCGATACATTAAAGACCATGTAAGATCTGTTCTGCACATGTTGCATATCTGGTTTTTTTTTTAGTTTTATGCACCTTTACCCATTCTTTTATTTTAGTACTACAATATTTATATACCCAACTGCTATTGATGGTGATGTCATTGTGAATCTATGTATTGTATTTATTTATTCTAACCCAACCTGTTAGCCCATGACTTTTTAGAGAGCAGTTATCTTGACATAAATGCATTGAGCCCATACAGATTTTATTGTGAGAGGCAACCAGTTGCCCTGACAACCCATTCAAGTCCCACAATGCCCACTGAAGTTTAAAAGGATCTAGTTATAAATATTAGCCTTTGTAATTTTTTCAGTTACAGTATCGCTTGGTTTAAGAATGAAAGTGCGGCCATACAAGCGGTGAGTGAGATGACAGGGAAGTTTATCAATGGCTGTATCTTGTTGGTAAAACCATTTACAGGAAGTAGTCCAGTTTTGGACGAAGCCAAACCTGCTAATGTGGCCAGAGAAGAAAAGCTGCCAGGTGTGTGTTACCTCGGGATTTATTTTTATTTTAAATAGGAGTGCTACTTGTTTACCCATTAATTAAAGTTGAGGACCCTCCATTGTATACAGTACCCACATTTTGTGTTGTTTCAACATCTTAATTGAAACTCTACTCTACATTTAAGAGCATACTTGTAGCAAACCCGAATGATGTTAGATGTTACCTGAGTGTATTATATTTCTGCTGAACGGACTTGACCTGATCTTTAAGCAGCAATGTGCCCAAGTATGCTCGATTTTATTATAATTTTACTATGCCATATGATTTTATTGTTATTATTTTACTATGCCATATATGATTTTATTGCCTAGGGACGAGTGCTGGCACTCAATGGGTTAATTAACCTTTCTCGCAAAGGCCAAATTCCCCATTTTTAATTTGGGTTCTTTTTTGAAAATGACATGAAAAACCCATTTTTTCCAATATTTAACTGTAAATTAACTTATAATGATAATACTCACAATTATAGTTCTACAAATCCCTTATTCACTGCGTACAATCTCAGATTTGGAAAAGACAGCACCCCAAAAATGCTGGTGTGAGAACTGGCTAATTGATTTGAATCTGATATTAATAATTTCAGTTTTTTAAGTGGTCTTTTCTTATTATCTAGACCTAGAAAACGAATTTTCCAAGATCTACGATTTTTATAGTGAGGCTATATCACGTTGTTGTGGACAACAGTACCTGAGCTGGTTGAGTAATCTCCCGTCTATTTTTGAACTGAAGATTATGGATGTTATCGACCCTTGTACATACTGGGTACATCTCTCTGACGGGGTAAGTTTATTTTAAAATTATTTTAAGTTATAATGTATCTTGTTGTGAGTATGGGCAGGGCGGGCTGGGTGATGGTGTAACTTGCTCCAGGCCTAACATTGAGAGGAAGCAAAAAATTAAGTAGATCAGTTTTTATTTAGGTACAGCATTTTTAAAGTTTGGAGTTCATGTAAAAAAAACTTAATATATGCCTCCGTAAAATAACTTTCCGCACAAGATAATGATAAAAGTTTAATAAAAATAACAAAAAACACATAATCGAATATAGTTACAAGATAGACTTCAATGATCTGGTTTTTTGCACTTCACTTGGTGGTATTAATATTTGAATGCTGTTCTTAGGGTTTGTAATCCAAGTGAGTATATATATATACATTTTAAGACCTGACCAGGAACCACTGCGAAAAATGCAGCACAAGGTCCTCTGGTAGGATTTGAACCCACAGCCCTGCGATTCTAGAGCACTGCACCGGAATCGCAGGGCCGTGGGTTCAATTCCTACCAGAGGACTTGTGCTGCATTTTTCGCAGTCGTTCCTGGTCAGGTCTTAAAATGTATATATATATACTCACTTGGATTCAAAA